AAGGGGAAAAAAATGGCAGACAGCCTTGCTTGGCGACCGTGAAATGGTCGATCGACCCCAAATGGGGTCCCGACCCACAGGTTGAGAACCGCTGTTTTAGCTGGTGTCCTTCAAATGTCCTTCAAATACACAAGCATCATTGCCCCAGCATTGTTCAGAATTATGCAGTGCCTGCCAGGAACGGCCATTCTACAGCATCTAGGTCAGATTCCCCGTTCAGGTTATACAAATGTATTTCTGGACCACAGTTTTATGGAAGCATCCCCAGGGTGCTGGGCTCTGCGCGCAATGCCACATTTTGTCATTCACCAGCATTAGCGTCCAAAAGATTCACAGCATGGCTTTTAACCAGGAGCATGTTCCTGCACAGATGAACTGAATGGCAGGGACAGTGAGCAACGGCATTATGAAAAACACCCTTGCGTCAATGCACCACACACCTCCAGAGAAGGCACGGTGTGTGAAGTAGAAACAGCAGCTTCCACTTGCTGCAGCTTGGACATATATAGCCACATCTTCAAAGGGTGTAAATCCTTGGTTGTCTTAGATCTGATGCAGCAGGTGACCTTCAGGCTTTACTTATAAAGCTAAAGATCAGCAACCAATCTATCTATATAAATAAAAATGTAAATGTTCGTTTGTTCGAAATCTTAAATCTCCGAAAGTTCTTCACCGATTGCTTTGAAATTTTGACACAACGTTGCATTCGAATATGCGCGTGTTTTTATATACCTATATTATATAGATGTCACACCTGTGACACAAACGTGCGCTTTCTCTTTTCTTTTTTTTCCATTTAACCAGACTGAGCCACAGCAACGCGTAGCCGGGTACAGCTAGTGAATGAATATAAGGCCTTTTCACTATACCAGCACATTGCATTACTGTTAGGACATTATACACGGGTGGTCCTCAACTTATGACCACAATTGAGCCCAACATTTCTGTTGCTAAGCGACACACCGGTTAAGTGAATTTGCCCCATTTTACAACCTTTCTTGACACAGTTGCTAAGTGAATCACGGCAGTTGTTTTAAGTTAGCAACCCAATTGTAAAGCTGGCTTCCCCGTTGGCTTTGCTTAGAAGGAGGTTGCAAAAGGTGATCACGTGACCCTGGCACACTGCAGCCGTCATAAATATGAGTCGGTTGCCGAGCATCCACATTTCGATCACGTGACCGTGGGGGATGCTGCAGCGGTCCTAAGTGTGAAAAACAAATCCCAAGTCACTTTTTGCAGTGCTGTTGTAACTTTAGACCAGTGGTTCTCAACCTTTTTAATGCCGCGACCCCCAACCGGTCGTAAGTCGAGGACTAAACCGGTCGTAAGTCGAGGACTAAACCGGTCGTAAGTCGAGGACTAAACCGGTCGTAAGTCGAGGACTTTCCCTGCCCGGGAGCGGCGCGCATGTGTGATTCCGCCCTGTGCGCCGGCCGAGGCGTAGCTGGCAAGCGGCAGAGACGGAGCAGGCCGACCACCAGCTGACCCAGCTCAAGGGAGGTAAGGCACCCGCCGGAAAAGGGGGAAAAATATGGCGGACAAAAAAAATGGCGGACAAAAAAATGGCGGACAGCCTTGCTTGGCGACCCCCATGAAATGGTCGATCGACCCCAAATGGGGTCCCGACCGACAGGTTGAGAACCACTGCTTTAGACAGTCACTAAATGAACTGTTTTTAAGTTGAGGACCACAATCTGTCTAAAGTTATGACTCCTAAAACGAGACTCCTATTTCAGATGATACCATGAATATATTTAACCAGGAAGCAGTATGGAAATGGCCCGACATTCCAAATTAGCCGTCTGCATTGGTATTCTGTGACAATTTCCATTCCAATTAAGCAGCCTAGCCTTGGGCTGGTACTTCCATTACAACATCACTAATAAATGCTAATCTTATAATGTAATCCAAATGGCACCCGTTCCAAGTAGAGATAGTCCTCACTTTACAAATTGTACTATAATGGGACCGGAATGTCTGTCACTAAACGATGTAGTTGCTAATGAGCTATGTCCAATTTTGCTGGGTTTTTTTTTTGCTGGGGTCGTTCCCAGTCATGAAGCAAATTCAACTTCCTTCATTGGCTTTGCTTCTCAGAAGCATCCTAAGACAATCACGTGATCCTAGGACGCTGCAATTGTCATAAATATATGCCCCTTGCCCAGCCCCTGAATTTGGATCACACAATTAGGCAATGCAGCAACAGTCTTAAGTGCAAGCATGGATTGTAAGTCACTTTTGGTCAGTGCAACAGTTGTTAAATGAATGAACACAAGTTGAGAACTATCTGTATTAAATATGCTAAAGCACGTCCGTTACAAACCAGATTTTGGCATTTTTTGTCTTGTTGGTGGGGGGGGAAGAACAAGCAAATCAGAAAACTTAAAATGTTGGCAATTAACAGATGCTCCTTTCAAAAAAGACAATTTAGTCACCCATTTTTTACTACGTTTCTCAACACTGTGTAATTAGTTGCATGCAGCCATTACCTGGGCAGCTATGAAAACATTCTGAAGCTGTTTAAATTATAAACACAAAAAAGGGCAGGATTTTTTTCAGAGTTTTGAAGAACCCAAAACTATGCCATATATAAAATACAGCAAGCAAGGAAAGAATGAGAACAGTTTAACTAAGCTCAGAAAGCAGTGAAGTAAATTAAATGTTTGGAACATAGGGACTTAAATGAGTCATTGATGCAACTTTAGAGCAACTCTCCACCCAGGACAAGTGTCCTTCATACTAAGCTTCTCAAAAAGCCTAAGTGTTGTCAAATTATACAGTATCCTTCACTTTGGTGAATATACTTTATCTGAAAACATGACAGGACTTGCATGTTTTTAAAGTACGCTGATCATGAAATCCATAAAAAAAATCTCATGCAATGCTAATATGTATGAAATTTTAAATGTAAAGCTTTCTCAGCCTTTTAAATCCATAGCCCTCAGGCCACAATATTATGTAAGGGATGAGACATCCCTTGCTGCATGTAGCCTCCAGACCCATTTTGTCAGAAAACTATAGACTGCACGGCTCAATTAATGTTGTACGTACATATCGGATGATACTTTCTTCCAAACAAATTGCACTACAAATTCTCAGATGTCTCCATTAGCTCCCCAAACACAAGTCACTCTCAAAAATTGTGTTAGTTAAACTGCCAACTGGCAGAGGGAGTTTGTATGGATTGATCCTTGTGCCAGCGGGGAGATCACAAAAAAAATAATAAAAGAACAAGAAGTTTGTAATCAAGGTAATCACTTCATTGAGCAAATTCCATATGATAGATATTGCATTTTGCTAGCTGAAACACTGTACAAATAAACCATAATTAGTTATCATTACATGCACGCTATGATTTGGATTAAGAACGGCAGTAATAGAGAATATGTTGTCTTACAAATGAAAGATGTAAGATATGCATTCTGCTTATTTCCAGCAAACATGAAGTGGGGAAGGAGAAGATTAGAAAGTCTAACTTGACCTTATTCAGTTTCATTTCTGAATGCTTGACATTAAATTGTTTAAAACCCAATTCTTTTAAACATTAAGATGCAGAAAAAGTAGAGTTTACAAGTTCATTCATTATTTTGCAGTAGAAAGATAAATCTCAGGTTCCTTCAGACAATATTCAACTGCAAAGTGATGTAAGATAATGAAACCTACAGTACTTATCTACACTTATCTACTATCTCTATTGTTCCTATGATTGAACGTAGTCTGGAGTCCAGGAGGTAAAGGCTTTCTCGGTGGGCAAGGAGGCAGTGGAGCTTGGAATGTCTGGTAGGCAGGAAGAGGGCAAGGATGGACCCTTCCTTGCAGTTCATAGAGTATATCTATAATTATGCAGATAGTCATTTTAGTCTGGAAGATTCGGTCTGTAGGCAAACAACAATAAAACTACTCAGAAATACATCCACGTGTCATTCTTGTTTTGTGCAGTCTGACATCAATCTTGAGACTAAAACTACTATCTGCATAACTACAGATATACTCTGGGAATTGCTAGGGAGGGTCTGTGCTTGCCGTCTTTTTGCCTCCGCTGTCTTTTTACCTTCTGCAAAGCAGCCTCTCCCACCGGAGACTCCAGACTACATTCAACCACACTTTCTTACTTTATCCCAACAATGCTGTTAGGCAGGTTCAGCTGAAGGAAAATGCCAGGTTCCAAACTCTTGGTGTGACTATTATTCTTCCTGGTCCCACACTGTGGGATTTTTAGTAACATATACATACAACCTAACATTGCCAACTTAGATGAATCGCAGTTCTCTTATTTTACACAGTTTTCCCACTTGTCTTTTAGTGTCACATGAAAGCCTCAAAGACTGGTCTTCACCCGAGAACTGATGCAAATAATCACAGAACAAAACTTAACTGGAATTTCCTTGGATGTGCTGAGAATAAGAACAAACCTGATTACAACCATCACACAAATGAAATGATGGTTTCTATACCACAGAAAGGCTTTTCACATAAGTAGTACTGGAACAAGTAAAAATAGGAAAACAGAACGAGAATTTTCCATGAAGATTTCTTTCCTACCATGGAGACGAGAACATGTGGCATTCTTGTCCAATAGTTTAACAATAGAATTGTTGCCCAGATGTTTGATTTGGCTGCCTCTTTCCTTGCTTGGCGCATTGTCTTGGCCACCTTGTCTCTGCAGAGTCCAATTCCAACAACTTCTTGGTCATTTTATTCATTGCTGAATTATATTCCCTTTATAGCATATTCCCATCCTGATTTTATAAAGTTTATAAACATTTCAGATTTACAGCAGAAAAAGACCATGCAATATTTAAAAAAAAAACCTTAAACTATCAGCTAGTATAACATTTGGAAGTTTGAGTTCACTGAACATATATGGCAACAAACAGTATCTAGGCTTTTGAAATTTATGGAAGGAAAGTCAATAGCTAATGTTACAGCTAATCAGTTCTTGCTACTGATATTTCAGAGCACTAGGGCACAAGAAACCAGGAAGTACAATACCATATTTAACTGTTTTCTGTATCATTATGTAGTCTTTTTATTTAAAGCATCTATGCCCTGCTTTTCAACCAGAAAGACTTCCAAAATGGTTTTACAAATCTTTTATATATTGTATGATGTTGTCACTAAAACACTTCTAATATTTATTTTATTATTTTAGCTATTTTATGCAGTGCTCTTCTTTAAAAAGTCTTGCAATAAATACCTGTTTTTAAAACCCTAAAAGATGCATTTGGGGGTGTTTTTTTTGAACCAGGGACACACTGCGAAGAGCTGGTAATTCATGATAGTAGCCTTACTTGACCTCCACAGGTATGGGAGATGATTATTCCAAATCAGCTGCAACAGATTAAACCAGAATATAAGCAACTGTAACATATAAAGTCTACATTACAACTAAGCATTTATCACCAAATTCTCCTGGCCCAAATCCTTATAATCATATTAGTTAAAAGTGCCAGCCGTTCAAGCATCTTTTAGGTTCCTTCTTCTTATCCCATCTTTTTTTTTTTAAAAAAAAAAATGTGAATTATACTTGCATAATGAGGGATAAAGGAGAAATAACATGAAAAATGCCTGGGTTTTGGTTGCCCTAGTGATGCATGGCTTATCAGCACGGTTGCACTTAAAACGTATTATATCCCAAAAGATATTACACAATTTATATGACAAGTAGGAAGAATCTATAAATAATGCACAGGAAGAGTAGCTAAAGAGCCTTAAATCATGGCTTTACTGGTGCTGCATTGCAACTTAAGATATTTTTTTTTTCTACCTTTCAAATACGACAGATAACTCATTGAAATCCTTGATGGTCCAGAAGATTTTCTGATTTTCCTCTTTTTTGCCAAATGATTGCTTTCTTGTAGCTGGAAAAACTATGCAACAAAACCCTTAAAGTAACAAGGGCCAGCATTTCATCCCTTCTTATTCACTGAACGGGCGAAGCAGCATAGTAGATTCTAGATCTGAACCCCTTTGTTAAATCAAGATCAAGCTTGCCATGCTTGTTATTCTAAAGTCAAAATGCACATCCCCACTTATTGCTTTGGAGGTCAAGAGAAAAGCCAGAGACCTGTAATAATTTCAGGAATTGGATTTTAAGACTGTCATTCATATTAAAGACCCTTCCTTTCCAGTTCTTCCAGTATAGCTTGGATTCGGTAAACTGCCTCTTTCCTTGCTTGGCGCACATTGTCCTGGCCACCTGTCTCTACAGAGTCCAGCTCCAACAACTTCTTGGTCAGCATTTCTTCCAGTAAGCAGAAGTCCTTGTCTGTCTTTTTACCCACAAATTCATCCACTTCTTCTTCCAACAGTTCAATTCCCTCCATAACTTGTGCAATCTTCTGTATTCCTGACTGCACATTTGTTGGAGGCTGTACGTTTATTTTAGAAGCCGATCCACTGTTAATTACAGAGGGTTTCCTATGTACATTATCATACAGCTGGGGCTGTGCACTATACTGCACTTTGGGGTTAGAAGCAGATGGCTTAACATCAACTTGTGCTGGATTGTAGTCATTCGTGGTCCCAGAAGGCAAACTGTTGGCTTCAGGAAGATAACCATGTTGGTTAATTCCTTGATCCATTTGGCTAAAAGACTCCTAAATCAGGAAAAAAAAAAAAAGCAATTTCAACAACTCTATCAATTCCATTTCCCCCCCACCCTGTCTCGAAAATGCTGCAAAAGCAGGTCCTTAGGTGGCCAATGTTGCCAGCCTGCCTCTCTGCATATCTGTAGGATCTTCATGCTCAAGATGTCAGCGCAAAAAGGCTCTAGCACTGTGGATAGGACCTGAACTTTGAACCTGTCAGAATGACATCACAATATGCCATGATTCAATAGCCTAAAACCTAGGTGACCTTTTTATGGGTTCTATAGATTAGATTAGATAACAATTATTGTCATTTTTTCCTGTGGGCACAATGGCACACATTAAAAAAATACAATTTAGTTGCTTCCTCTCAAAGTGTACACATACATAACACACATTTAAAGCATACTATATACAACATATGTATAGAATTATACCCTTACATATAAGCATACTTACTATAGCATAGTAAAGTTTCCCAAAAACAAGACTGTAAGAGCTCACTTGGCTAAGTGCTTCCTTCCTCACACACATACAAAATTGTCAACTGAAAACAGCAATGAAGCTGTAGATGAACATGTAAGCCGAACAGCTACTACGCTGAAGTTTTGCAAGTTTTAAATCTATCAAAGATGAGCATCCCCAATTACTTTTCCAACTAGGTTTCTTTTTAAAACTTTATTTCACTGTTACCGATTTCTGCAATATCAAAGCATTTCAACTATGATCAAACAAGACTTCTCCAGTATTTTGCCCAAACGCTCTTGGCAAAATATTTCTATATCAATACTTGTTGAATATTAACTCAGAAAGGTGTTGCATCTAATGGGATTCTTCCTATGATATACTTGTAGGGCACAAATCCTAAAGCAGATGAAAAGAAGGGAGTTACTGATCTTGAATTAATAATCCACCAGAAAGAGATAAACTGCTTGTGTATTTTTAAAAAAAACCACATACCTTTGGGTTGTTATTTGGGGGATGTAGAGCAGACACGTCACTGCTAGGCCAAGATTCTGCAACATACTGGTTCCCTTGCCCTGCTGGGGGAGGGGGCCAACCATAGGGAGGCTGTATTCCATAAACACCAGGGGGTTGCCAAGTTGCATCTTGAAGTCCTGGTTGAGGAGGGGGCGGCCTCTGCTGTGGAATGCTAGGGTTGCAATCCCTGTACGGATAGGGTGGGAGCGGAAAGCCTGGGCCCTGCAGAGAAAAAGTGGGGTAGAGAGACACTTTCTTTAATCTCCCCAGGAAAACTCCTCACTTAATAAAACATTAAAAGACATTTCTGGTAGCAGTGTTTCCAAGGCACTAATTAATACTTCAATAGAAAAACAATCATTCCCCTTATGTGTTCATGCTTCAAAAGGCCTGGTCTTTTTCTGACGGCCACATCCGATTATGGTCCATCCATGCGGGGTGTAATACAGCTGAGTAACCAATGGTTTATCCTTCCATTTCCTTATTCTCATGATCAGGACACATGCCAGCACTTTACAGCAGATGCTTCTCAGCACCATGTGTGCGCCCCTTCTTTCATTTATTTATTTTATTTATTTATTAAATTTATATACCGCCCTATCTCCCTTACGGGACTCAGGGCGGTGAACAGGCGATACTAAAAAAAAATATTTGTATTTGAATGCTCCTTTTCGATGTGTTGTCTCTACATCTCTCTTTTTTTTTTTTTTTTAAAGGGGGGGGCAGTAATTGAAACGGATAAAATAATATGGCCTACAAACCAAGAGCAAAGTGCCAGGCCTCGTTTAGGCAGGAAAGCCAGATGGGTGACTTTGTGCCAGTCACTCTTATAGGTTTGTTGTTGGGGAGAGACTAGGAGGCAGGAAGATTAGGTGTGTTTGTTGTCTTAAGCTAAACACACACACACACACACACACACACACAAAAAAAAATAATGATTCATATCAGATATTTACTTGTGGAGGGGAGTATCCGACTACCTGCCTCCTCACCATGGAGCCTTCAGTTGGATAGTCCGGAGGAGGATAATTCCAGTTGGATGCTGGTGATGGAGTTCTATATATGCTAGAAGATTCTGTGGAGTAAGTGGCAGGAGGGTGCTCTGAAGAATAGTATGTGTTTGATTGTGGGAGGCTGGGATATGGCGGCCCTGCCCCAGGAGCTGGGTATGAAGGTCCATAGACACCATTTGTGTAGGAAGAGTCAATTCCCTGGAGGACAAAAAGAGAAACCACTTGAACCAGCTAGCCTAGCTTAAAGACAAGAATTCTTACTCAAAGACAGTTCCAGAATTATTTGCTTAAGCAGCCTCAGTAAACAAAATGACATCTATTAAGATTTTTTGGGCTCTTGCAACTTTTAGTTACAGACAATGTTGCTTGTGAAACAGCTAAGAAGGAAACAAAAAAAAACCTCAGAACATATCCACTGCCGGCAGTCAACACCCAGATAAGGAGAGATTAACACCAGACAATCAAGCAGAAAACAATACCATAATCAAGGAGAAAACCACACCCCCACTTTGCCAGAAGAGAAGCTACTATATATAAACAGAGAACAAATTCCACATTCGCTTGCACTGATGTTGCCTAGTTGGTAATGAAATGTTTGCAAGCAATCAACCAAGCTCAGAAAGCACCAAGGATTCCATAGCAAAAGAAGCTGTTCTATTTATTACTGTTTGCTTGTTTCTGGTAATAATAAAACAAAATGACCCAGTTGGGAAGATTTTAAGATCACTGATACATCTATATAAAAGAAACTGATTTACGTAGAACAAGAAGTCCTGTGAACCACGATGACAGGCTAATAAGCAATCTAGAATAGATTTTACAAACTGTCATTCACAGTGAAATTTCAGGTGCTAAGATAGCTTCTTAAATTTTGTGCCCAGGTGACACCTAAATTCTTACACAGAATGACATTACCCAGCAGAAACCCTCTGAAAATTTACATGCTGCATTACTTAATTTGATCCTTTTTAAAATCTTGTTATATACTACCGACTCTCAAACCAGAAGCTTAATTATTTTACAAGAAACCATGTCGAGACAAAATGCAGTACTTTATTCCTTTTACTCTACCTGGCCTTGAAGCTCTGATCCAACAGGATATGGATTTGAATAGGAAGCTCTTGGAGATGAATTCCAGTAGTTGGGGGCATACGCGGGATAAGGAGGCTGTTCCTACAGGAAGAACCAATACATTCAATTTCTGCAAGTGATTAGGCTCACACCTAGAGTATTTCTAGAATAGTTTTAAAGCTAACTTTTGCAATCAAGGTCAATGTCAGACCATCAGTAGGAAGTTCAACAGAATGTTGTTGGGTCAGAGACAATCTTCTTGTTAATCCACGGCTACCAAACTAAATTCAGCAACATTTGCTGCTTGTACATTTGTTGTAGGTTGTTGCTGCTGCTACATCTGCTTGTAGCAACATGTGTGATTTCTGTTACAAGATCCTTATAGCAGAGGAGCCTCTAAAATAAAAAAAAAAGTAATGGACTGACTTGATCAATTCTTGATGACTGTGTGGGACGACTGATACAGCTTTCTTAGCTACAATATAGAAGAGGTTTGCCTCTAGTTTCATCCAAGATGTTTTTCAACTTCACAGTGTCGTTTGCAGCCCGTGTATTCCAGAATTCCAGCCAAGTTAAATGAGGCACAATCGAGGTCCAACAAAATCCACTAGGTGTTGCTATGTGCTTCAACAATTCTAATAAATGCATAACTTGAGTATGACGTCATTTTAATAAACGTGGAACAGTTTAAGAATATATATATATATATATATATATATATATATATTTCAAGTGGTGACTGGCAGGCAGGCAAGGAAGTCTTGTTTTATTGATGATACCTTAAGACTCACAACCACGGGCAAAAATAGGATGAGCATATTGTAGAATAGAAGCCTTCCAGTCTTTTCAAGCTTATATCAGGGAATGGAAAGAGCAGGACTTCGTTTTTCATAATGCAAGACTGTTTATATTTATATGAACGTGCACTGCTAGGATTAATAACAAATCCCAATTTTACCTGTAAAAATCAAATCCTGGAAAGGGCTGGGTGGGTGAGAGAATCAGAGAACAGGTGAATGAAGTCCTTTGCTCTACAGAACTTCCAGTATTACATTTCTGAAATGCTTTACAACACCTTAAAGCTTAGCTCATCTGTCGGGTGATCATTACAATACACAAAGAGTTAGTAACTTGTGGTGTTAGGTAAATGTCTACATACTACATTCATGTAAGGACATTATAATAATCTGATAGGAATGATCTGGAAATAGTGATTACATAACAATGGTTTCTTCCAAGCAACGACTAGAAAATCTGTAATTTTCAATTGACAAGAGGTATAAATAAGAAACATATCGGAATAACCAATATGGATCCAAACAATACCTAAACACAAGCTTAGAAATGTTTAAGCATACCCTAAGTACGATAATCTAAAATGTATTTATGATTCAAATAAGTCACTCATATGGTATCTTTATTTCAAATACAGATAGTCCTTGAGTTACAATCACAACTGAGCCCAAAATTTAAGTTGCTAAGTGAAACATTTGTTAAGCGAGTGTTGGCCCATTTTATGACTTTCTTGCCACAGTTGTTAAGTGAATCATTGCATTTCTTAAATTAATAACATGGTTGTTAAGTGAATCTGGCTTCCCCCATTGACTTTGCTTGAAAGAAGGCCTCAAAAACTGATCCCCTGTAGTCGTCATAAATATGAACCAGTTGCCAGGCGTCTGAATTTTGATCCTGTGACCATGGGGATGCTGCAATGGTCATAAGCGTGAAAAACAATGTCTGAACAATCGCTAAATGAACTGTTGTAAATCGAGGACTACCTGTATATAACAGTGATTCAGATAGTAATCCTAAATCCTCTAAAAAGAGAGCCTAGTGCCTTCTGAAAGACCAACCAAATTACTATTGCATAAACTTTGTGGATTTCCATTTACTCTTATAGATGTTGAGACTGATCCGTATTTTTTTTAGAAATGGAAGAGTTAAGATGCTGCACAAAATATCAAGAATTATAAATACAGGTTTATAAAAGTACCATCCTCTTTCCTCAAGGAAAACAGTCTCAGCTCCTATCCATTTTTCTTTAACCAATACAATTTCCACCTTATATTTTATGAGGCTCCTTAATGAACTGTTTAAACTTAGATATTTTGCACTGGTAATCTTTAACCATCAGTAGCAAAATATCAAAGTCTTTCAGGACCTATTTCACTGATTGAGCTATACAGTGATACCAAAACACAATTTGGAATCATTATGTTTTTACATTTTTAATATCTGTTGGCATTTGTGATGCACTAAAAATAACATTGGTAAACCTAGGTATGTTTTATTTAATAATCACCTAGGGAACACCTTTCCTTTTACACTTAGGCTTACTATTTACTGACCGGCTGCCAGGAGTGACTAACAAAAAGCAGGCTTTATCTTAAATCTCTCTTCAGCAATCAAACTAATTAAAATCTTTGCCTGAAACTCTTATTCACAGCCTTATTCAAACTGTCCAAGAATTTACAGAATGCAAGTATAGTTTGTCATCTCTCCTCAATGTGGTTTAACTGGAAGCATATTAATTTAGTTCTTAAAATTTCAGAGACTAAAATGCTTTCCCAGAAGAAGTTAATAAGACAAAATATGTGAGTTTTAAAACGCATTAAAGTTATTTCTATTCCAACATTAAAATAAGGTGTCAAGGATTATAGTAATAACATTGTATTGCTCTATTACATTCACTAGTTTCACTAACTGATGCTTAAGGCTATCTCATCTCTAATTGGAGGCACATCTCCTGCCAGTTGTTTGTATTAAAACTAATCTCCTAAGAAATAGAAATTCAGATCATACCCCCTCCTTGTTGCTAAGAATTTTCTAGGTGTTAAAGTATATTAGATAAGTGTTCACAGTTTAGACTTAGGATTTCTTTGTTATTCAATCAGAATCTTTATCCCTCTTTTGTAAATCCTTTATTGTTACAATCTCAATTTTTAAGCTGGGAAAAAGCTAGGCTATAATAAACTAAAAACATTTGCTTCTAAACAGTGTCTTTTACACAATACTACCACTATGAACTACTACTTTTTAAAACCCCATTTGAATCTGCTTCAATATTTTGAAGGCTATGACTCAAGTTCAAAAACAGAAAAACAACTACTCTACAAAGGAGCCGGCTAATCACACCCAAGCTTTGGAAATAAGCTCTATTTGCCACGCAACATAACCATCAATGAAAGAACCTTCTAGGAATACAAAACATTTAAGGCACTTAATAATTTCTCAGAGCCTACCTTCATGACACAGAATTGTTAGAGAGAGCGTGGAACATTTTATTGTACACAGCCCTAAAAAGACTAAACAAAACGGAGTTGCTTTATTTTACGGTTTCCCCCCAGATTTATGCAGCGGTGCCTCCCTCCTCTAAACGTTGAATGTGTTAGCCAGCAAGTCTTTTTCCAATATAGAAAAAAAAAAAAGCATCCTCCAAGAACATTTCCCAAGTCTCTGGGCTCCATTTTTCAAGAATTAAAACCTGTACAGTTTTCCTGGGGTGGGGGGGGTGCAGAGGGGACAGACAAGGACAACAAATTCTAGATAGAAACCAGAAGATGACATTTCCTATAGGACTTACCATTTTCTTAACTTCTAGCCAACCCGGAAGTATGTTTTCCCCCTTTTTTTCTTAGCCAAACCAAGGGAAGGTTTGGTTATGGCTCAGCTCCGGCGTGCGTGCACTCGGTGCGGGAGGAGGAATGCAGGAGGAATGCATCAGCCAGAGTTAGCTAAACAATCATTTACCCAAAAAAAAAACCCAAAATGCGGAGAGGAGGAATAACGAGATGAGCAAACTGGACTTGGCTTCATCGTCTCACTTCCTTCTCAAAGTAGACGCAACAGACTAGAACAGGGATAGGCAACCTTGGCTCTTTTATGACTCGTGGACTTCAACTCCCAGAATTCCTGAGCCAGCAAGGCTGGCTCAGGAATTCTGGGAGTTGAAGTCCACGAGTCATAAAAGAGCCAAGGTTGCCTATCCCTGGACTAGAAGCACGTGGTAGCACCTCGGAGGGGGGGGTTAGGGCAAAGGAGACGCAGACGGTGGCCTGAGGGGGTCAATTACGTAATATAGCGTTAATAATTGGAAGAGGGAAAAAAAATAAAATAAAAGAGTATGAATTGGGCCGTTACCTGGGAGCCGCCGTGAACAGGTCTCTGCCCGCTGCCGCGGTGCTGGGCACACCCAAAAGGTGCCGTGCCCCACGGTGGCGGCGGAGGCTCCGGCTCAGGCCGAACTCGTTCCACTTCCGTTCCGCGTAGCCTCCTCAGCGCCGCCGCCATTACGGACTCTCAATTAGCATTTATTTATTTATTTTTTTCCCCCTTTGTAAAGCAATGCGCCTGCGCACCAGACGACCAATCACAGCGATCAAACACACCTCTTCGGCTTCGATTGGCTGTTTTCGATATTCCCCGGATGTGGGGAGAGCGGTAGGGCTTTGCTAAACTAAAGGAATTAAATGCTGCTGCTGACGTCAATAAGCGAGGACGGCTCCCCAACGTCACGGGGAACGATATCCAATCAGCAAGCCTGGTTTAGGAAAAAACTTTCAATTAACTCTTAAAGCGCCGGGGGAAAAAAGAGGAATTGGGATTTTGTTTAGTGCCCAGATGAGAAATGTGCCTTTTTTTCCCTTTTTCCCCCTCTCACTTGTCACTTCTTATTCATTTTACATAGCAGAATTTGCCTTCAAACTTTATTTTGAAAGAGGAATATTGTCATGGGTGGAGCATAGTTTATTCCACAAATTTAATAACAAATCTGGAGGGCCAATGGAGAGTCCCCATCAAAACAAGACTGGGGATAAAACAGACATTAAATAATATTGTACAGGTTGCATAACTCAGAAGAGAACGTTGAAATGGATGTTATGCCCAGGAATAGTTATTACTTTCTTTTAAATAGGTTTAAAATATAGATTGTCTTAAAATATAGATTGTCTCTACTGTACATGTTAAGGAAATTCAGCATGTGTTCAGTTAATGGAGTTTGCAGTGGTATTTGAAGCCATTTTGACCGTTACATATATATCTGGAAGGGAAAAGGTTAGAAAAACTGCATTTACAGCCAGGGTTTTCTCAGTCTTAAAGTCAACCACAAACGACATACAAATATTTGCATGTTTCTCACCTTCTATTTTATCCTTAAAATGAGTAGCATGCTGTACGTATCTTTACATCAGTGATAGACCAGTATAAATAAAAGTCACAAGCATTTAGCAATAATAATACAATCTATAACATACAAATGATACATGAAAGCTAGGATTATTAATATAATAGTGTAATATAATATAAAACACTATTTTAAATAAGAATTCTTAGTATTCTTAATATTATTGAAAAAGTGAGAATAAAAACAATAGAACCAGTTTAATGTAATTTTAAGGCACCAGATTACTGGGAGATTGTCAGTTCAGGTCCCACCTTAGACCCAAAGCCAGCTAGAGGACCTTGGGCCAGTCCCTTTCTCTCAGCCCTAGGAAGGAGACAATGGCAAACTCCTTGTGAGAAATCATGCCAAGAAAACTGTAGGTACTAGTCCAGGCAATCACCTGGAGTAGAATAATATAAGAGCAAAAGGATAAAATTAATGTGCAATAATAATCCAAGGTCACCCAGTGATCTTCAGGCTGAGTTAGGATCCTGCAAGCTTACCGATACATCATAATTTTGGAACAGGGATCACAGATCATAAATGATGGTTTATTGAATAAAACACATTAGCTGGACTCCCACGTACTACAGACCAGAGCATAGCAGGCTTCCCACAGCAAACCAGGTTTGCACGTGGTTTGCTGACCCTGCTGCAGCCAAGCCCGGAGCTGATGGCTTATGAACCAGCTACCCTAAGCGAACGTGGGCCAGTTTTACTATGGTTCCCATCTCGCGCAACCCTCTATGCATCCAAAACGGATGGCCCAGGCTCCCCACGGCCGGCTGCCTCCCGATCCCCGCCTCTGATTGCGCTCCAGACAGCCAGCCAGCCGGGCGCGGCCGCTCCCGACCCCTCCGCCCTTCCCCGGCCGCTTATTTAAGGGTCGAGGCCGGCGGCGCCAACCTCTCTCTTGGGAACTCCCGTGCGCACCAACCCGCCGCTGGGCACGGGTCCCCTTTTGTCTCCCCGCCCCGCCGGAGCTTGTGCTTCCGGACCGGGCGGGGAAAGGCCAAGAGCAGGTTCCGCTTCTCCCAGGGCCGGTGCGGGAGGCGCAGCTTCCGCTGCGTCCGGGGGAAAAATGAATTACATGCCGGGCACGGCCAGCCTCATCCAAGACATCGACAGTGAGTAGTGCGCTGGGCTCCCGGCTCTGCGCGGGGTCCCTTTGCGCCTGGCGGGTAGCTCCTTACAAGCAAACAGGTCTCCTCCTCTTCCTTTTTTTCTTCCTCCTCGGTTTCAGATCAGCTTTCTTTCCATCTCCCTCCTCTAGATAAATGCTTTTGCTTTAGGAAATGGCATGGCACTGATTTAATTGCCGTTGCGCTGCAACCATGCTGGCATGAATGCATGCATGCATGCTTGCATGGCCGCAGCAGGCTGGGGTTGGGCCATGAATACTAAGGGGGTGAGAAAAAGGAAAGAGACCGCCCCCCTTCCCAAAAAGAGGGGTGGAAAGCTGCGTTCCTTCGGCGTGGCCGAATTCGGTTTGAAGGATTTGCGGCTGGCGAGCGTTCCGTATTGTAATAGGACTCTGTTTTGGAGGGTGTGTGGCGGATCTCTTGGCACTATTTTCCTGGTGTGTTTTTTTTTCCTGCCTTGGAAATGGCTTGTGAAGGCTTTAACCTGACTTTCTGGGGGGGCCCCGAGCAAGTTAATTGTAATCATTGTTAATGGGATAAGCTACACTTGGGGAGTTTTACACAACGCCCTAAGTTGTAAGCCATAGTTTCAAAGCTACTGGAAGGGTTGAAGCCTAAACTTACTTACCTACGACCTACCTACGTACCTACAGGAGACACTGAAATATCAATCAGGCAACCCTGTTTTACACTAGTCTGATATTTTGCATGATGGCTTCCTTAAATGATATATTTCTGAATGGCTTTTAAAGGTAGTTTATTTTTCCGGTGCTGGCCAAAAGATAACCACACTTTAGATATATTTCTTATATAATTACCTGAACCACAAAATAGCCATCTATATCAGAGGTCCCCAACCTTTTGGGCACCAGGGACTGGTTCTGTGGAGAGAGGTTTTTCCCGCAGACCAGAGGGTGTGTGGTTTTGTGTGCTGCCTACATCCCGCAAATGGGGCTTTGCTTGTTTGTGCAGACCGGTTGCTGGCATGCCACAGACCGGTACTGTTCCACAGACCGGGGGTGGGGACCCCCTGATCTCTATTTTAAGACTAGCATGTTGTATATATGCAGTCCATATGGTAACTTTATGCTACACTTTGCAAAAGAACCCCTGAACTCTGAGCTGAGAAAAACCATAGTTTATGTGTTATAAGCACAGAATATGGCAGACTGCTATCACTGTAAAACCCAGCATTTTAACATGGTGTGAACTGGGGAGGAGTTTTCAATTAACTTAGAGTGATTGAGGAAGAAAAAGCAAATTCAAGCAATAAAAAGCAAATCCAAATAGGCTCATTGGATCCCTGCACTTCTGTGCTTTTACAGTGAATGTGATCATTCTTTATCATTCCAAATAACAAACCTAAGTGACAAGCATTTTTGTAGAAAACAACAAAGACAGATAACTTAATATATTTTGGAAAACGCCAAGGCTTATAGACTTCCAGAACTGTAGAAAAGCTGATTCAACTTTCTAAAAGGCTTGGTTTTTGCAAATTAATATGATTTTTCTCTTTTTTTCCCTCCTCTCCAGAGAAACACTTGGTCCTCCTTAGAGATGGCAGAACACTGATTGGATATTTACGCAGCATTGATCAGTTTGGTATGCCACCTTTATATTTCCATTTATGTACCCTTGGGTGGTCCTTTGTGCATCTAGTACAGTGGTGGCGAACCTATGGCACGGGTGCCAGAGGCGGCACTCAGAGCCCTCTCTGTGGGCATGCGTACCGTCGCCTCAGTCCTAGGCCTTCAGCTGGGCTTTATAAACCCTTTTTGCTTTAGGCCTCCGCCGCCGTGCGCAAAAAAAAAAAAGGTTCAATTAATCGGTCAATTTCAACTTTTCACGGGAAAAAAAAAAATCTTGCAAAGTTGGAATTGATTGAACTTTTTAGTCCCACCCACTCTGCCGTTACCACCGCAGCCACGCCCACCCAATGGGCCACACCCACCCGGCACCTAACGATGCATAAGTGGGTTTTGGGTTGCAGTTTGGGCACTCGGTGTCTAAAAGGTTCGCCATCACTGATCTAGTACTTTGCCAAAGCTAGGAGTTGGAAAGAAAAAAAAAAGTATTGAAAGAACCAGGAAAAAAAAAACTGTGCCACTATACTGTGAATATACTTAATAGCACTTATTACTGACAGAGTATACCTATATAGAGTCAGTTTGGTGTAATGGTGAAGATACCAGGTTACTGGAGACTGTTAATTTTATTCCTATCTTAGACACAAAGCCAGTTGGGGTTTCTCTTAGCCCTAGGAAGGAGGCATTGGCAAACCACTTGCAAAAAAATTGCCAAGAAACCTGCAAGGATTTGTCCATGCAGACCCTAGACATCAAAACCAACTCAAAGGAGAAAACGAGGAGTTTCCTGGATTAAAATCAAGATAAATGAGTCTTGAAGATTCTTAGGGTACCTTCAAAACAAGTTTGGCAACAAATAATTTGTTATTCTGCCTTTGCTGCAGGAGTTCAAAGCAGTGTACATGGAATTCATTCCTCATATCTTTTTTTCCCTCAATAACCCTGTAGAATTTTGCTCCATGGCCTCTGGGGAAAAGCTATGGTTCAGAAGTCATCCCAGGCTCTCCCAAGCTTAGTTTTCATGCAGTATGTACTGTTCTAAACCATCAGTTGACCAGAAAGATCAGTCAGAAACCTGAGTATCCAACACTGATTAATATAGCAGTGGATTGGTGTGAACTGGGGGAAGAGAACTGTGTTCCAATAGCCTTTTTTGCTCAATAGTGAACATCCCAAAATACCATATCACTGGAACGCAGCAGCAGATAAATTTATTTTCAAAAGCAAGAGTGACTTTTGAGAGGCAGTCTTCTCCCCTTTAAAATCCGTACCAGGCCTGACATTGTGCTACTGAAATTCAGCTTTGCCACAGAGTTTGATTTTCAGCTGTTAGCTGTTAATTCAGGCTTTCGGTACTGTATAGGAATACATAAAGGTCCAGTTTGCTGCTGAACTCTGCTGTACCGCTAGAGGGTAGCAAATACTAGAGAAGATCAAGATTTAGGCATGCTTCTAATTGGGTTTAGAGAGTTTCACTTGAACTTGGACAATCTGATTGTACGAATCAAAAAAGTAGTTTCTGTTCTTAGATTAGAAGTGCATTGCTCTGGGGCTGTTTATCAAGCTTGTTTTTCTTTGTGCAGATGGGAAACATCTGTAAAAAGAAAAACAGGCTTAGAAGACCAACTCAGTGTTGTATACAACTATTTTAGAGCTTAGGCTAGTTCCGGTATACTAAGAATTGAACAAAAATAACAAGAGCCGGGATCAACCCAACTCTCCGATTTAGTTCAGAAGTCTGTATTCTTTGGCAGAGGCCCAATTGGCCCTTGTCATTCCTTCTCTCCATTTTAATTTTTCTCTCCTGTGCTGCAGAAAGTTGGAAAGAAATTATATACAGAGACATGAGATTTTAATTCATACGTCCGTAAGCAGGATAATTGTCTAACAACTGAGCAGAATAGGACAAAATTGGGTGTAGCTGCTAAAAGAAATACTGAGTTTGAAAATGGACTAGTCACTAGAACAAATGGGATTGCAGAAGAAAAAAAACTTTCCTATGTGTCCCTGTGACTTTAGTCAATGGATAAAATGTTTTCTACTGGACCATTTTTAGCTGCTGTGCACATAGGACTTAAAGCTGTCCCTATGTAACCATCCCCACAAACGCAGCACGAATGGAGAGCAAAAACGCACATAAAGATGCAACATACATTGTCTCACAAGTGCTTTTTCACGAGGCAACTGGGCTTTCTTTGTTTTTCCTTGAAAATGTTTCGCTTCTCATCCAAGAAGCTTCTTCAGCTCTGACTGGATGGTGGGGAATGGAAGGATTTATATTCCTTGCAGACAGCTGGTCATTTGCATTCTTTTAGAGAGTAGTTGAGGCCATCTGGAGGTTTATCTCTGTCCTCAAGGTCACCTGAGTGGTGCAAAAGAAAAAGTCCAGTTTCCTCTTGAAAAAGCATCTTTGAGACAACCATGACCTGGATGACTGAGAAACTCCATAGACATTTTGCAACATACATTACTTTACGTTTACTTTACATTTACAGAAGAAAATGTGGATGCCTCCTGTGGACACTGCAGGTAAATGGCTTGGAAAGAATTTCAGAAGCCATGTTCTGTATGGTTTCCCTACCTTATTCTTTAATTTATAATGGTTTATAAATGGTTTATCTTGGTAGGGGTTGACCAGAGGAACAGAACTGAAAGAGAATAATGTGCCCATTTTCTGGAATGAGAATAAGCAGTGGTGTTTGTACATTTCTGTGGCCTGATGTTAATGTTTGATATAGGGTCACAGAGCAGAAGTCTGAAAGGTTCATTTCTCCCCAGATGGGGAATTATTAATGCTTGTCTGCAAATAATCAAATCCCGCTAGTGGTTGGGTAGGCATACCATTATTGTTGCATTTGTCCACATCCTTACAAGTAAACCTGCAAATAATTGCAAGCGAGCCTGTACTGATATGCTGCGGTTTGGATTTAAAGCTGAAAAAATATTTGGGGATAAGCATACACACGGCACATCTGTTGGAATCTCCTTATAGAATCCACAGGTTTTGTTTTCCTGGGCTTACTCAGTAGTTGCGCAAACCCAGGAAAATCACATTAGTTAAGGAAGCACTGACATGTATACTTTAAGCACCTCGTTTCACCCTTTCACTTTCTTCTTAACTCAAGTGCATTTTTTTCATGGCATTGTACGAGCCCAGAGAAAAGATACAACTGCTTAATTGCCAATAGATGTAGGATGCATCTCCCTTCCACTTTGCAAAATCTCTTTGGCTTCGGATCCAATATGTGTGATATATAGCTTTGATTTTTCTGAACAATGCCCAGCATCCTGCAATTTCATGCTGGCCGTATAGGACAGCAAGCCCCCCTGCCCTGCATCCAACCTGAAAGCTGATGATGCTGATTCGTTTGTAGGTTAGTCAATTTTTTAGGTGGGCTGAAAGAATGGGAAACATTGTTCAGTTCTCAGTATGTTTATTTACATGTATGGAAACCCTGCACATCTTTAGCTAGCAGATGAGTTTGTGTTACATGCCAGACTGAGTTTGGATTTGCATATCTCTGTACAGAGTAGACTTCCTGAGGGGAAAATAAGGGATGTCAACTGAGGTTTTGAATTTGCTATACATATGAACGTCTGAAGAAAGAGAACTACTCAGTGGGAAAGCATAGAGAAATAGACAACTGCAGCTGTGCTTATCTTCCTTCAGCTTTCCTTTCCTTTACAGACCTAAAAAGGTCATTACTGCAGAGGTTGGTTGTAAAGTTACTTTTTCATCTTAAGCATGAACAGTTGCTAAACGAGGCAGTAGCTAAGCAAGGACTACCAATGGTATATGCTTCCTTATGACACATCTCTCCAAATGAACCATTCTTTGCTAAGACTTTACTTGTAAATGGTCACATTTACTTTCGTGATCCTATAATCTCCTGATTACCAAGCTGGGAAGCTTTGGTAAAATGGGGCTTGTTAAAAAACGACGGATTGTTCTCAGATCACCACAACTGAATGCTGGAGGTGTGTACTCTTGGATTCACAAATGGTGCTAATGGAGAATTTTTAATTCTGACTTAACATGGAATGTCGCTTCAGCTCTTTTGTTCCATGACTTAGAATAGAACACTCCACCTATTTTGTTTGATTGAATAGACTCCAGCTATTTTGTTTATGACTTAGAGTGTTGTATGAACTGTGGATTATTTAACAAACGGTAGTTAGGGGAACTGTGATCTTGAGCAATGTGCAAACACACTCTCTGAGCTTGGTTGGTTTTTTTTTGTGAGACACTGATGATGTCACCTAGCTGAAGTAATGAAATGTCTACAAGAAAACAACCAAGCTCCAAGAGCAAAAAGGACCCCTAATGTCAACCCTGAGCTACAAATATTCTCCTTTACTGGCAATCTAAGTTACATATATGACAGTGCTGTGTCTTTTAGGGACATACCAAAATCAAAATGAAAGACCATTAACATTTGCAAAAAGAACTATGAAGCAGTGTAAATTATCTCATTGTGCGTGGATGAATAAAATAAGGTGAAGATTCATTGCTTACATGTTGGAAGAAGAGAAAGGGGTCCCACAAGTGCTAAATAGAAATAATGCTTCGAATGCCAAGACAACAAAGGGGGAAATATTTTCTAATTACCGTAGTAGTATTTCGTTACCTCTTTAGAATGCAGTTGCACAGAAATGCAAAGGTGGAAGGCTGCAAACTCTTACAAGCAGCCACACATTTCATCACTGTTTCCATCTTTGTTTCCTTCCTCCTCCACGGACCTGCAGCAAATCTGGTTTTGCACCAAACAGTGGAGCGCATTCACGTGGGCAAAAAGTATGGTGACATCCCTCGCGGCATCTTCGTAGTCAGAGGCGAGAATGTTGTACTCCTGGGAGAAATTGTAAGTCACCAACTTTTCTTTTTCAAATAATGTGGATTTCTGCGAGCCTCTTGGAGCAGAATTCTGGGAGTTGAAATTCTTACATCTTAAAGTTGCCATGTTTGAGAAACGTTGGTACGACTTCATTCTTAATTGACATTAGCTGATCTACATTGGGATTACGGGCACTTGTAGGTTAATCCCTCTGGAGACCACAAGGTTAGGGAAGGATTTTTTTTATTATTTAAACAGGTAAAGGTTTCCCTGTCAGTTGTGTCAAATTCTAGGGCACGTTGCTCATCTTTGTTTCCTGGTTGAGGGAGCCAGCGTTGTCCAAAGACAATTTCTGTGGTCATGTGGCCAGCATGGCTATGTGCCAAAGGTGCACAGAACACTGTTACCTTCCCACTAAAGTGGTACCTGTTTATCTATTTGCATTTGTATGCTTTCAAACTACTAGATGGACTGGAGCTGAGGCGAGGACGGGAGCTCATCCCATTGCACGGAGTTCAGGTGTCAAACCCGGACTGTCAGCTCTCTAGCTAAAAAACTCAGTGTCTTTAACCACTGAATCATCACACACACCCCATACACACACACATTTTTCTTTATTCTTATTCTTTATTGTATGATAAATAAAGAATAAGAATGTATGTCATGTATGTGTTTCACTTTGAGAGCGGGCAACTAAATTTCATTTTTGATGTGTGCCGTTGTGCCCACAGTAAAAAAAAATGACAACAAAGGTTATCTTATTTTAAAAATGGTATCTTTTGGTGTATTTTTAATTGAGAATTGTTTGATAAGGTGGAATAGAATAGAGGCGCTGAACATACCTGTACAAACCTAGAACTAAGAAGAAATTTACAACAATTAACCAGTGGAACAACTTGCCTCCGGAAGTTGTGAATGCTCCAACATTGGAAGTGTTTAAGAAGAGATTGGACAACCATTTGTCTGAAATGGTATAAGGTTTCCTGCCTGAACAGGGGGGTTCCTCCAAGGTCCCTTCCAACTCTGTTATTCTGTTCTGTTCTGTTCTATTCCTGTTCCTAGCATATGTGTTTTGTGTCTCAGAAGAAATTGCTGTTTCTTCCCAAATACCAGTCCTGAAATGTTGGTGCTTTTTTTTAATTGCAGGACCTGGAAAAGGAAAGTGACACCCCTTTGCAGCAAGTCTCGATAGAGGAAATCTTGGAAGTTCAACGGGTAGAGCAGCAAACGAAGCAAGAATCGGACAAGTTAAAAACGCAAGCGCTGAAAGAGCGCGGCCTCTCCGTTCCAAGGGCTGATACACTAGACGAATACTAAGTATTTACCTGAACTGTCTCCCAAAGATTGAGGAGACTATGTACTGAAGTGCCCAAGCGATGGACAACTATTTTTTTTTATTATTATTATTTCAGATTCCTTCCCCCCCCTCCACCCTCAAGGGCAAAAAACAGTTGGATCACCGTGACGTAAACTGTAGTTCTTCCCGTTTCACCCCCCCCCAAAAATCATTATTTTTGAAGATTAAATATAATCCAGCATGAATGAAGCAGCTATAAAAGAGAATGCTGGTTTAGGACATTTTGTTTGTTTTTTTGTAACGCAGGGATGACTTATGGAAGGAGTGGGGAAGGAACCCTCTCTAACCTGTAAATAAAAGGTGATTCTAAACACTGCTATAAGCAAGGTGGAAGCAGTACTGAGAATTTGTCTCTTTTTTTTCTTTTTTAGTCACCAGGGCGATTGTCTAGGGCAGGGGTGGGGAACCTTGGCTCTTTTATGACTTGTGGACTTCAACTCACGGAATTTCTAAGCCAGCCAGGAGTTGAAGTCCACAAGTCATAAAAGAGCCAAGGTTCCCCTCCCCTGGTCTAGGGGGGGACAAAGAAATGACAGAAAAAAACACTTTTGTCTTCTGAACTGGGCTGATGGAGACTTTAAAACCCTCAAACAGGGAGAAGGTTTGACCAGAACAGCTGAGTTATTCTTGTTTGTGAAGTTCTTGGTGGTTTCTGAGCTTGGTTCTTTGCTTGCAGATGTTTTAGCACCGGACCACGTAATATCACTGATGAAGATGTAACATCTGCAAGCAAAAACCAAGCTTAAGGTGTAGCACCCAGAATTCCATAGTTAAACCCTGAGCTACAGATATTCTCTTCTGTTGCTGAGGGATCCTTGGTGCTCTCTGAGCTTGCTTGTTTTCTTGCAGACGTTTCATTACCCTACCTAGGTAACATCATCAGTGCTAGTAAGGAGTGCTGTTTGCTGTCGTTTTATATTCTGGTGTCTTGCCTGTCTGTGTGGGGCGGTCTTAGGGATTCTTTGGTTGGGCTGTTTACTAATGGCTCTTTTGCAATTTCTTGATTGAGGTATTGCTTTACTTGATTGTTGGTCTGAAGGTTATTTGTCTGAATCTTATTTGTAAGATTGCCGATTTTTACAGCCAAGCAGTGGACTTGTAGCGTTCTCTCAATTTAGTCTAATTTAGCTGATGGCTAATGGCCTTGAATGCCCTCTGAATGGAACGGGAAAAGATAAATGAATAATACATAAGCTGCCAGTGTGGAGTCCTGCCTACTTTTGCCTGTGATACATCCGCAGGTTAAAAAAAGAAAATCCACGGGGGGAAATCAAGCAGCCTGGAAACCTCTCATTCTGACTTGGTATATATTGAAGAGATTCCCTGTGGCCACAGGCCTCAGGCCACTGTTTTAACCTATAGATTTATTTGTCTCTGGGCCCAACCAAAAAATCAGATAAGCTAAAACGGGTAGGCAACCTTGGCTCTTTTAGGACTGGTGGACTTCAACTCCCAGAATTCCTGAGCCAGCATGGCTCAGCTTGGAAACCTCTCCCTTTCCCCTCAGCATGGCCGGGTCAGGAATTCTGGGAGTTGAAGTCCACGAGTCATACAAGAGCCAAGGTTGCCTACCCCCGAGCTAAAATAACGCAATGATACCGTATTTGGACAATTCTGCATTCAGTGGGGGCAGAATGCATCCATTTCCCCAAATCCTGGTTTTTGTCTTGCAAATTGTGCACTTCTCCGTTGGCTTGGTTTCCTTCTCTGCTTCTCAAGAGTGTAATGCATTTGGTGAATGTTCAAAGTTACAACGGCGCTGAAAAAAAAAGCGACCGGTGACCATTTTTCACAGTTAGGATCTTTGCAGCATCCCCATGGTCATGTGATCAAAATTCAGCGACTTGGCAACCGGTTCATACTTATCACCTTTGCTGTGTCCCAAAGTCACGTGATCCTCTTTTGCAAGCTGGATTCGCTTAACCGGGTTACTAACATATCAAGTGCAACGATTCATTTAACAACCACTGCAGGAAAGGTTGTAAAATGGCGCAGAACAAATGTCTCACTTAACAGAAATTTTTGCACTTGGGTGTGGTCGAATGTCGAGGACCACCTATGCAGGATTAAACCCATGAGGTTGCCTTCGTTGTGTCCCTGGCTCAGGGCTGATGCAGTGTGTCATTCATCTCTGGCCACACTCAGTGTCAAAGTAGCGTCTTTAGGCTGATGATGTCTGCTAGCAGACTAAAGTCTATGACGGGTCTTCAAACTTGGTCCTTTTATGACTTGTGGACTTCAACTCCCAGAATTCCTCAGCCAGGTATGCTGGCTGAGCAATTCTGGGAGTTGAAGTCCACAAGTCATAAAAGGGCCAAGTTTGAAGACCCCTGGTCTATGACAAATTTTAGGGTTTTGCCATTCATTATTTTGGAGAGGAATTGGGACCGACCAAGAATAGTGACAGAATAGGAATCTCCAACAGGGACTTTGATGCCATTATTATTTTCTATGGACTTAATGACAAGAGGCCTCTCAGTACAAGGGCAAAAGGTCCTCAGACTTGGATGGATAAAGCCTAAATCAGTGGTCCCCAACCTTTGCTGCTTGGTGGCCCGGCTGGGGGTGGGGAGAGGGGAACTGGGCCCCACGAGGGCACACGTGCGTACGTAGCTCCACTCACACAAGAGAGAAGCTTTGAGGCACCACTCACCCAAGTGGGGATGCACATGTGCCAGCCTGTCACTCATGCGGCCCAGTTGCAAATAGGCCACAGCCCTGTAGTGGGCCACGGCCCACAGGTTGGGGACCCCTGGCCTAAATGGGAAGACCCTTCTGTGCACGATTAAAACCAAAGTTATGGGGGCTTTCTGACATTAAGTTTACAGACGGTTGCAAGCTTGAGTGTGTGCGTTGTGTAGGCCAGGGGTCCTCAACCTTGGCAACTTTTAAGACTTGTGGATTTCAACTCCCAGAATTCCTCAGCCAGCAAAGCAAAGCTGGCTGAGGAATTCTGGGAGTTGAAGTCCACAAGTCTTAAAAGTTGCCAAAGTTGAGGACCCCTGGTGTAGGCACTAGAGCAGGGGTCGGCAACCTTGGCTCTTTTATGACTCGCGGACTTCAACTCCCAGAATTCCTGAGCCAGCCATGCTGAGGGGAAAGGGAGAGGTTTCCAAGCTGAGCCGTGCTGGCTCAGGAATTCTGGGAGTTGAAGTCCACGAGTCATAAAAGAGCCAAGGCTGCCTACTCTGACCTAAGTTATTGTGCAAGTACATGTGATAGCTACCAAAATGGGGAATGGCTGGCTCAGGAATTCTGGGAGTTGAAGTCCGCGAGTCATAAAAGAGCCAAGGTTGCCCACCCCTGCACTAGGGCAAGGGTCTTCAAACTCGGCCCTGTTATGACTCGTGGACTTCAACTCCCAGAATTCCTCAGCCAGCATGCCTGGCTGAGGAATTCCGGGAGTTTGAAGTCCACCCGTTACCAAAGGGCCAAGTTTGAAGACCCCTTGCACTAGAGCAGTGTTTCTCAACCTTGACCATTTTAAGGCATGTGGACTTCAACTCCCAGAATTCCACAGCCAGCAACGCTGGCTGTGGAATTCTGGGAGTTGAAGTCCACATGCCTTAAAATGGCCAAGGTTGAGAAACACTGCACTAGAGAGCCAGCCTTTGCTTTCAAGCGCTTCCCGGCCAAAAACTACATTTCCCGGCATGCACTCGAGAATCATTTAAAAAAAAAAAAAGGTGGGACCCAGGCGATTACATAACTCTTTCGAACGTTGACACATCGGAGCCCTCCCCCCCCCCGTGGGGCGGCGGCGACGTCACCACCCCGGGAGCCCCGCCCTCTTGGAACGTTTTGTAGCCAGTTTGATCGCTTACGGGCTCTTTCGAGTATCCGTGCCATTTCCTGCTGGGACAGAAAGATTCCAGCGGTCGTCCTTCCTTCCTTTCTTTCTTTCTTTCCTTCCTTCGCTTTCTTCCCCCCCCCTCCCTTCTTCCCTCCGCTCCGCGTCGGCGGGAAGAATTCCCTTTTTTTTCCACTCGATTTCCCTTTTTGGAAGCCAAAAAAACCCCCCACCGATCGGTATTTCTTGGGCGGGGGGGGGCGCAAAGAAGGACCGCGCGCCCCCCATTCCGCCTGCACATCTCCCGGGGGCTGAGCTTTAGATTATTATTATTATTATTAATTTTTTTCCCCCTTGCTCCCTCCCCCCGGGCATGTTTTGCTGGGCAGGAGGGTAAGGGGGGGGGCTTTCCCCCCCTTTTTTTCCCCCAGCGCTGCTGCTGACCCCCCCCCCTCCGCCCGCCCCAGGCGAAGAGCTTCACCGGCGCCGGAAAGCCGTGGGTAGGCTGGCGGAGGGGGGCGGGCGAGCGGATTTCTCTCGGTCCGGATTGCATTGCGGTGCTTCTGCCCAAGGTGGGGGGGTGGGGTGGGGGGTGGGGGTGGAGAGGATCCTGCTTCCCCCTCACGCCCTGCCGGATCTGACTTCGATCCTCTGGGCGAGCCGCAGAGAAAGCGAGAGAGAGCGAGAGAGCCAGCGCTGGAGGGATGTCCTACCTTGAGGACTAGGATGCTGGGCGGCCTCTTTTTTCCAAAATAATACAAATCTGGAGAGAGCGCTAGCCTTTCGAGGAAACGGCCGCTTCTCCCTTCGAGCGGCTTGATTTTCTTGCCCGGCTCGCCTCCCTTTCTCGCCTCGCTCCTCTTTTTTTCTTTCTTCTTCTTCTTTTTTTTTTTTCCCCCCTTCCCTCTCTTCGGGATTGTGTCGCATCGCACAGCATCTTCCAAGCTGGAGCGCCATGGAGCTGGAGAACATCGTAGCCAACACCGTTTTACTGAAAGCCAGAGAAGGTAAGTAAGAGAGGGTCGGGCAGCCGAAGGGAAGCATCGGAGTTTGGGGGGTTGGGGGTGGGGGGTGGGATGGGAGAGAGAGAGAGGGAAGGAGGGAAGGAGCCGGTGGCGCTTTCCGACGAGCATCGCTGCAATTGGAGTAGGGGGCAAAAGTTGACCTTTTGGTCGGCACTACAGTCTCTGGATGGAGCTGCATCCTGCAAATTGTGTTAAGGCAGGGGTTCTCGACCTTGGCAACTTTAAGACTTGTGGACTTCAACTCCCAGAATTCCTCAGCCAGCTTTGCTGGCTGAGGAATTCTGGGAGTTGAAGTCCACAAGTCTTAAAGTTGCCAAGGTTGAGAACCCCTGTGTTAAGGGAAAGGAATAATTTTTGCATTATTTTTTTTTTTTAAAGAAAGCATTGTGTGTGGCTGTGCTGGAATTTACACCACTCTTCAGTCATAATCTCCTGAGTTTTTTTTATTTTCACAACACTCCTGCAGGGTTGGCTCCTCTTAGAGGTAGAGACGGGTCCATCAGTCACCCAGTTAAAACTGATGACTTGTATAAACCTTTCAGCCATGATTCTCACCATATACAGTATATCTTTGTCTGAAAAGGTATAGGTTTCCTGCCTGAACAAGGGGTTGGACTAGAAGACCTCCACGGTCCCTTCCAACTCTTGTTATTTTATTCTGTTCTATCATAAAACTGCAGTCAAAGGAATAGATCCAGAGATGTGGGCTGGTGGTGGAGTACTTTAGTGTGACAGGTCTAGATCTGGGGGCAGAAAGGAATCATTTCACTTTCGTTGTGATCGACCAAACCTCTTAATCACATTTACGGATATCTTAATAAAGTTACATTGAAGGTTAAATCGAAGGGGATACATGCAGTCCATATTTTTGAAAAGTACAGTGGATTAAAAATCTTAAAAGTTAGTCGCTGTGTTCTGTAGGTGAGATTTTAACTGACTGACAGGTTCTGAAACATATTTGAAAATACATCCTTTTTAGATTGGCAGGCTTACTTGACAGAGATGCCCTGGCAAAATGCTACCAAGAATTGCTTTGTGGCAATAAAATAAATAAAATAAAATGTGTAAGAGCGTGACTTTAATGATAGCAGTGGTGATGCTATAGCCTATTTATAAGCCATAAAATCAAAGAGCAAGATTTTTATTCCTATTGTTCTTCCTTTGTTATTTTTTTAACCTGTTTTAAATTAAGCATAGTGGATAGAATGTTGAATTTGCCTCTTGAGTTTAAATCCCAATTCGTCTGTTTATGCTCATAATGCTTAGCCTTTATTCTACCAATGGGAAGGTGATTTGCCTACTTGGAATGCTGCAAAAGATCAGCAAATTAAAGGCTACAAAATTGTTTGTTTCAATCGAAGAGAATATATGTGGCTCAAAGTTGAACCGTGGAGTCCTTGGTATTCGCTGATTTTAGTAATTTTCTTATAGACATTTCATTACCCAGCTTGCTAACATCAGCAGTGCGCTGGCGTTACCTAGTCAAGTAATGAAGCAGGCAAACCACCAAACTCAGAGAGCACCAAGCATTCCATAAAATAGTGTTCTAAAATTTATTTTTTTTACTATAAGTATCAATTGCATCTGTTATCTCAGTTAAGTCGATGGGAATGAAGAAGCCTACAGTATCTTGTTCAGAGCTGAGCTCAATTCCTGTGTGTGGCCAAGACTGGGATGTCACATGTGTTACATTTCCATGGTGTGTTGCGATATCTCTGCTTTACGCAGATCAGTAGAGTCATGTTCAGCTCTTACTTTCTCAGCGACTCTGCAAACGCCAAATAAACAGTGGCATGCTTCAGTTCAGTATAGACAAAACTACTCTGTGTGTATCTCCAACGCTGGCTGTTAGGGGTGGGAATCTCAGATGCCATTAGGTGTCAAGACTGCATTGCTGTTTATGTGAATGAGTAAATCACACAGGGTGGCCTTTGGAAGGGAAAGCCTAGGCCAGTGGTGGCGAACCTACGGCACGGGTGCCAGAGGCGGCACTCAGAGCCCTCTCTGTGGGCACGCGCGCCGTCGCCCCAGTCCTAGGCCTTCAGCTGGGTTTTATAAAAACTTTTCGCTTTAGGCCTCCGCCGCCGTGTATAAAAAAAAAAAGGTTCAATCAATCACTCAATTTCAACTTCTCGCGGGAAAAAAAAGATCTTACAAAGTTGGAATTGATCGATTGAACTTTTTAGTCCCACCCAGTCTGCCGTTACCACTGCAACCACGTCCACCCAATGGGCCACACCCACCCAATGGGCCACACCCATCTAATGGGCCACACCCACCCAGCACCCTATGATGCATAAGTGGGTTTTGGGTTGCAGTTTGGGCACTTGGTCTCTAAAAGGTTTGCCATCACTGGCCTAGGCCTATATCTTCAAGGCTCCTGCAGTTGTTTTTCAGCAAGGTCACGAAGCTTTAGGCCAGGGCAAAGGGTAGGGACCTTTATTAATTGGGGCAGAAAAAGCAAAGAGACCACAGAAAAATACCTGGTATAGGGCAGGGCTGTCCAACCTTAGCAACTTTTAAGACCTGTGGACTTCAACTCCCAGAATTCCCCAGCCAGCCATGCTGGCTGGGGAATTCTGGAAGTTAAAGTCCACAGGTCTTGAAAGTTGCCAAGGTTAATCAACCACCCTAACATGGGGCTTTTCATTTACAAGCTGTGCTCTGGCAAGATACTACAAAGGCAGATATACAGGTCGTCCTCAACTTATGACAATTGAGCCCAAAATTTCGGTTGCTAAGTGAGACGGCTAAGTGAGTTTTGCCCCATGTGATCGTAGTTGTTAAGCGGAATCCCGGCAGTTAAATTAGTCACCTGGTTGTTAAGTGAATCTGACTTCTTCGTTGATTTGTCAGAAGGTTGCAAAAGGTGATCGCATGATCCGGGGACACTGCAACCCATTGTAAATCTCGACCAGTTGCCAAGCATCCGAATTTTGATCGCTTGACCACAGGGATGCTAGCAACGGTCGTAAGTGTGGGAAAACGGTCATAAATTACTTCTTTCAGTGCCACTGTAGCTGTGAACAGTCAATAAATGAATGGTTGTAAGTTGAAAACCAGGTCCTTTGCTATAATTTTCTGTAAAGTTACCCTACCGTAGAGGTCCCCAACCTTTTGGGCACCAGGGACCGGTTCCGTGGTTTTTCCGTGGACCGGAGTGTGCGTGGTTTTGTGTGCTGCCTGCATCTCGCAGATGGGGCTTTGCTTGTTTGTGCGGCCCGGTTGCTGGCATGCCGCGGCCCGGTACTGGTCCATGGACCAGGGGTTGGGGACCCCTCCCTACTGGATGAGTGGATGGGGCAGTCAGGCCTTCTCAAGAGAAATTAGGAACTCCTTCGCTCGATTCCTGGTTCTACAAGAGGATAAGAATAGAGGTTTGAACGAGCACCACAGGAAGACACAATTCAGTGACGAAACGGCTGTTGTCCTCACATACCCTTTTTTTTTTTTTGTTAAAAAGAAAAATGCACATACACAGTTGCTGAATTCCTAAGCCCTTTGTAATTGTATAAATGTTGTAAGTCAGCCTGGGAATGATGAGTTTTGTTGAGTGGTTGACATTATGGAGGCATATTTGATCTTGCTTCCCTCTGCTCCTCCTCAACCCTGGAAGATTTTCAGATGGAAATTGCCCCCACTTACAATTTAAATGTGAGGTTTTCATCATATATAAGTGATATGTGGTCTTTTTTGTACCTGTGCTTCATTTTGTGGCACTGATATGCATTCCAGAATCTTGATCCACGTTCCTTAATCAGACAAGTGGATTCTATTGCTTTGTAGATGTTTCAAGGCTTCATGGAGATATATATATATCTCCATGAAAGTTTGGCGTATGTGTATTGATATTAAACTCTTATAGTTTAATGATTTTACCCTGGTGTTCACTTTCATTTATTTATTATTGGCATGGATGCACCCAGGGATCATGTTTTTAGTGTAATTATTCACAAATATATATATAATGCATATATGTAATGCAATTTTTTTTAAGCATGGAGTTTCTGATATATATATATATATATATATATATATATAAAAGCAGAAACTCCATGCTTAAAAAAAACATTTGCATTACATGTCTGCAGGATGCATGCTGTTTCCATCATGTCTGTTAAAGTCATTTAAAACAATGAGGCTGTTTGTCTGAATATACATTAGCTTAGAGCACACTGTGTACATTTTAAAATGCCTCGGAATAAAATGGATGACGAGAACAATGATTACAAAATATGCAATTCCATAACTTAAAGTACTAGCCAGTTACAATCATTCTCAATTTTCCCTAGCAATTTTAGGGCAGGCTAGAAAGGAAGAATCTCTATTATGCCTATTAGATGTACAGGAGGAGAAACTCGGATTTTTTAAAATCACGATTGGTTGGACAAGCCAAATTAGCAACGTTTTGAGACTGTTGTGGGTTTTGTTTTCCATCTATTTTTAGTCGCTGCTATGCACGTCTGTAAATTGTCAGAGGCTTGGGCAGAATATAGAAGCAAATTGTAAACCATCATTTCTATTACAAGCTGTATGAACAGGCCAGGCTAACCAGCCATGATCTTCAATTCATAGATGTAAATTGTGACTTGTGGCCTAAAAGTTCCAGTGAACCCTAATTAGACAAAACAAACCCTAGTTTAGTGTTATGTGTGTGAAGCAAGCAATGATTAGCTTTGTCTGGATGAAACTAGTCCCCTCAAAGAGACAGGAGAAGTCAGAATAAGTTGGGAACCTAAACTTTGTTTCTGATGGCCATGTTGACTAGGGAATTCTACAACATGAAGCCCAGATATCTGGAAGATGTCTATGTTGGTCTAGACCAGGGTTGGGGAACGATAATCCTTATATGACTTGTGGACTTCAACTTCCATAATTCTGAGAGTTGAAGTCCACAAGTCATAAAAAGGCCATCGTTTCCCACCCCTGGTCTAGACCAACATTCTCCAGTGTGATGTCTTCTAGATATTCTAGGATTTCCA